ACCCCAAATGACCATGCTGTTTGCTGGTGGCGGTGGTGGTGGTGCAAAACAAGCATCGAAAACGGGCAGTGACAAAAACGCCAGTGCCAAAAATCTGGGTAGTTCGCCAAGAAGTCAACCGGAACGGAGCAGCGAATCGATGAGGCTAAAACTAAGGCGACTACAACGACGAATAGAAGAAAATGTACGACAAAAAACCAGTGGACGAAAGTCGGACACGACACAGAGGACAGGGCGGACATCGCCCCTAAAAAAGTGACCAAATGTTGATCACAGTTATCACCGAAATGTTTGAAATTAAAATTAAAATTGTTCTTGGCTGTATTTTTCTTGTGTGTGTGTTAAAATCAGAATCCTCAAAAAACAGAATTCGTAACTTTATTTTTCTCACATCTCATCAAATACTGTTAACACAAACGAACAGTTATTTGGTATTTTTGTTAACAATGGAAAATAAAAAAAAAAAAAACAGCTGAAAAATCAGCATCATTTCGCCTACCAATTTTAAAACCACGATTTTTGAGCTGCTCGAAACATTTCTTACCATTATAATAATTCCACAAATTTTCTAATTTTCGTTTCTCACTTTCCCTTTTTCCGTTTTTTCCATTCCTTCTTATTATAACTTTCTATTGCGCTTAAAATAAAATATTTCAATTTTAAATGAAAAAATATCTGAAATTCTAAACTTAATCCTGCTAGATTCCGTTTTTTGGATTCGGTTTTTTACTGTTTATCGAAATTATTGAGATCCAAGAACCCTTTATTCTTTTTTTATTTCATTATCAGCTTATCACACGTGCGAAAAACCTCTCCCTCCCCTTGGTTTTAACAGCTTATCTCTTCTGTGAAAAAACCCCTCCTCTGTCTTTTCTTTCATTTCTAAAACCTCATCAACGATAACTCATCAATCACGCGATAAAAACAAAAAAAAAAAATCATCTTTTTCCAAAAAATAACAGCTTGTAACAATCCTAGGCACTGATAATCAGCTGTGGTAAAAAAAAAATCAACAGTGGCGAAATGCTGCTTGCAAAAATTTCGTCCTGCTCTCCTCAATGCTGCTTCTTCCGGAATGAGCATCCCTCGGTCAGATGAGCCTTTCCGCCGGTTGGTTGGCACAGAACCGTATTACAGCCCACACAGACTACCACTGATTGTGCATGACTGAAGACTGTTGTGATTTTGTAGCAGCCCGGGCATTTCACATCCATAAAAAACGAATTCGGATGCTGCACCAATCTTTTCAACTTACAACGTTCACGCTCCTGCAAGAAAATTTTTAATAATCTCAAAATTTCCAAAATTTCTCAAAAAAATTTTCAACAAAATCTTAAAAAATTAAGAAAATTTTAACAACTGATTCACAAAAATGCGAAACGTGGTCACTGACGAAAGCTTCTCCCTGAAACTGGCAATGAAAGACAACCTAGGCTGGAACGCACCAGGCGAGCCGGAGCGATCATGCGTTTTTGCACAAAACTTGAAT